ATTTTTTCATTGTTACTTTTGAGTTCAAAATAACTTAATTGTATTAATAATCAAACATTAGTTGAACGCAACTTTCTAGTTTAAGTATATAGATTTAGATGATATTTGAAATATTTTCAAGAGGAAACATTTTTAAAATTTTCAGCCATTCATTTCACCATTAGTGAACCTTACAATTTATTATTATTATTACTATTATTATTATTATTATTATTATTATTATTATTATTATTATTATTATTATTTTATTTATTTATTTATTTATTTATTTATTTATTTTTTGTGTTCAATTTTCCATTCTCAACAGACAACTCACAAAATGAGCTTAAGGGGTATCTCACAACTAATATAATGTCACGTAGTTTAAGTTTGCTAACAAATGAAATGGTGAAATGAAGAAATGATGAAGCGACTTTACAAGTAAAGTGCGCCTTCAAATAAAAGAAAGACAAAATAAAAATAAAACCGAAAAAAGATAAAGGTTATTGCGTTTTCTCTCCACGTAAGAGTGTTATGCCATGTAGAGTGTGAACATCGACATACCAACCCCCCACCCCTAAGTAGGAATGTGATATGGGACACACATGCTCAACTTGAACAAGAACCGTTTGAAGTCTCGTCCACCTAGAGCTTTGAGAGACCAACAGATTGACAAGAAGAACAAATATGTCTTGGTGAAACAAATCTCTTCTTGAACTTGTTTCGAACCACGTGACAGACTATATCATGTTGCTTGGTGCGTTTATGGAAGACCATGTTAGCTGTGATATGAAGGGCAACCTTGTAATCACACCATAGGACAATAGGTAGAGTAAGTGATAGAGTCAAGTCCTTTAGCAGACGACTCAGCCATTGCAGTTCACGGATCGTGGTCGCCATGGACTTATACTTTGCTTTAGCTGATGAATTTGAGACGTTCTTCTGCTTTTTGTTCTTCAAATAAATTAATGTCTGGCCCAAAAATATGCAAAATCCCCAGTTAGGGTTTTCAAGTGAGAATTCAACTTTCTCAATCTGCATCACAAAAGGCATCAAGCTCCATGGAGGGTTGTGCAACATAGTAAAGACCTTGAGAAGGACATCTTTTAAGGTATTTCACCCGGAGGGTTGCGACTAGTGTGCTTTTGTAGGACACTGCACAAACGGGCTTAGTTGTTGAACAACAAATAAAATGTCCCGTCTAGAGAGATTTAAGAAAAGTATCCTTCCATCATGTATCCTGTAAGCCCCAAAATCAATAAGAGAACGTAATGTTTGTGAAGATACATTGAGACCCTATTAAAAAGGAGTCATTACAACCTTAGAATCTTCTATTTTAAGATTAGAGATAATGTCCAAGATGTACCTTCTCTGGCTGAGATAAGTCCTTTGTGAAGTCATAAGAATTTCAAGACCCAAGAAGTACTTTTCTTTATCCAAATCTTTAATTGTTAACGGATTATTCAAGTAGTCTTTGAGGTGTCGAATCTCTTCCAAATGGGTGTCTGTGATGCACACATCAACAACATAGATAAAAAATTCACCAACCTTCTATTTACTTAGGAAAAGACAGTGATCATGGGACAGAGTGGCATCAGTTCGGTTATCAAACCGACATGAGTATTATCGAACCAAAGTTGATTTTTCGGTAACACCAAATTCTAAAATCAAAACCAAACCAATTTTAGGTGATTACCCATTTTTTGGTAACTGAAAAATAGGTTTGGTTTCGATAATTTACCAAAAAAGTTGGTTTGCTTTCGGTAGTTTCAGTAAAAGGCTTATCGTCTCTAAGCACGTTTCTTACTACACCGTCCTGGCTGTATTTGAAACATTGATGCCAAGTAGAAGGAATAACTCTATACTCACGCAACTAAGGACGTCCCATCAACATATTATAAGAGGTTTTGGCATCTATCACATGGAAAATAGCATTTGAAGTCATGTCACTGATTACTAACTTTAATCTAATTATGGCAAGAGCTCGTTGCCCCTAGGTTAAAGTCTTCAATCATCAACCGACTATTTGAGAGTTACGCAGAGACAACAACATAATCTTCATCTATCAATATGCGATTCACTCTTCTCTTACGAGTGTAACCAATTACGAATAGAAGACTATTATAGGGTTTAGGCCCAACAACATGTCTTCATCTGTGAAGGTGGCTCTGCATCGTTGTCTTCATGGTCACATCGTTCTTTTTCATCAGATCC